ATTATTATTATTATTATTATTATTATTATTATTCACTGCGTATGTTACTGGTCTCATGTCGGACACCAAACCGCTGTGATGACCCTGATGTTTTAAACTTCCATTCGGCAGTGTTCAATTTTTGATTGGACACCGGTCACCCTAATGTTCTTCTTGTATTTCCTCAGTCCCTCCAGGTAAATTCCTGGATGGTACCTCAATTAAAACAAAACTGCCTCACTCCAAATCCTTTCCAGTTCTCTTTTACCTACCGTCCTAACATTTGACGCAGTATTGTCTGCGATATTTATAGTGTTGTAAAATACACCGCATTATATCTAATTCCAAGTACGTCGCTTCAGATATCTGATGTCTCCAGCGGTGTTCTTCGTGACAGGACTGTCATGCTACAAGAGACAGCAGAACAAATTTCCTAAGTACCTTCATTTCAGTGCCCTGAAGAAGACGAGCTTCAAGTGGAACGCGACAGGGGCCGCCTCGGCGATGTGCCGCAAGGCCCGGTTGCAGTACGGGCTTGCGAGGCGCCAAACCAAGCTCTGTCGCACGTCCACACAGACCATGCCGCACATCGCGAAGGCTGCAGCACAGACAGTAACCACGTGCCAGAGCGTGTTCGCGGACCGCAGGTGGAACTGCTCTTCCGTAGAAATGGCTCCCAGCTTCACACCCGACATCACGACAGGTAAGTTCCTCCAGACAGACAGACAGACATACGAACAGCTATCTTAATGAGAGGCTATTTCCATTAGAGACACTGATTTTATAACGATAGGCGAGTTCCCATAGAGATGCAGCTTTCATAACGACACACGAGTTCCTAGAGAGATGCAGCTTTCATAGCGACACACGAGTTCCTATAGAGATGCAGCTTTCATAACGACACACGAGTTCCTATAGAGATGCAGCTTTCATAACGACACACGAGTTCCTATAGAGATGCAGCTTTCATAATGACACACGAGTTCCTATAGAGATGAAGCTTTCATAATGACACACGAGTTCCTATGGTTCCCATAGAGATGCAGCTTTCATAACGACACATGAGTTCCTATAGAGATGCAGCTTTCATATGAGTTCCTATAGAGCTGCATCTTTC